GGTCCTCTTCATGGGCTGCAGGTGTGAGAACTGAATAAGAGTTTGGACCTGCGTACTGGCAAACGCTGGAAACAAAACATGTTTCATTTTGGTCTGAAGTTATCTTGGTGGCGTCCTTCCAACAGACTGTGCCTTGTTATCTCCTTGAAGGTAAATACTTCTCCTGTTCCGTTGTGGAAATTTTGTCATTGTAGTTTGTTTGGTTTGTTATTTCACCTCTATTTGCTCATTAAGTTTGGACTGTATTGCTTTCTTTTGAAGACTATTTTTAAATATGTTTTATCTCCAACTGATTATTATTGAACAGTGGGGCCAAGTTGGAGGCATTAAAGGACATTTATTTACGTTTTGGATTTTGTTACGTTTGTGTTACACTCTGGGTCATCCCATACCCATTCCCATTTCCAGAGAGCCCCAAGGCTAGTCTCAGGGGATTCAACCCACCTTCTGAGAGCCTGAATTAAGCTTGCAAGTTATGATACAGAAATATGTATGGAAGATTCGTATTATTACTAAGAAACATATCCACAAATGAATCTAAAGTATATGGAAGAATGGAGTTCTACAGGAATGGAAGGAACATACTGTTATTCAGAGTGACATTCTTTTATTGAGATGTTTTCTAAATGTAACACTCTGTAGTATTTCCATTTTCTTTATAAAAAAATACAAAAACCAAATTGATTTCCAAGGACCTCCCCGCAAACACAATTCTCTGCCCTCCTGCTGTTTTGAATCAGAAGCAAAATAATGGGTACCATTTTTCAAATAGCAGAGGAGGTGTTTTTGCTGGTGCTTCTGCATAATCAGAGAGAGTGAGTTTGAGTATGCTAAGATATCGCCTTTAAACATAAACAGGTCTTATTAATTTAACTTCCTTTTAAAGAAACACTTTCAGAGAAGAAAATTTAGCACTTTTAAAAGCAGAAAAAGACAAAATCAATCAAATTAGCAGCGGGGAAGGGATACACGCATGTTAAATAAGGCAGGAGAAAAGAAAAAAATTACAATGCCATACAAATTTCTGGCAAACATTTCTGAAATCTGTTTGTCTTGTTTAATTAGATTAATGAATGGCACAAAATGAAACCGAGTAATCTAGATAGAGTTTGCAGTAAAGGTATTTAGACCAGTTTAGCTTTAGGATAGCATCAGAGGGAGAATCTGTTGATCCTGGAAAAACTGTAAGGGAACTAAATCCAGATTCAGCTTGCTATTCCTTGGGAGAGCTGAAGTCATAGGACCTACATCTCTCCTAAGCAAGCTGATGAGTAATAATGCATTATTTAGCTTGACTTTCACACTGCCTTTCTCAACACTAGTGTCCTTGACACATATCAGCTACAAATCCCAGAATTACCAGTCAACATGTCTATTTTAGTCCATTACCCATGGAGGACATCAGGCCTGGGGAAAGCTGGTTCTTTTGAGATGTTTCCCCAATGCTTTCAGTCATGTGTGGTTTATTTTCTTCCACCTACAAACACAGTTAATACATTTTAAATTAACAAGGCAAGCACGAATGCATACTCATGCCTTTTGAAAGAATTAAAGCTTAAATAATCCTTTGTTTTCAGAGTTCTGTTTAAACAAAAAGAATTTTCTTTAGGAGTACAGTAGTGAAAAAAGAGTTAAATCTTTCATCCATGATTGCTCTGATCCCATTAATTATGAATTCCCCTAATTTGCATTTTTGAAAAACAGGTAATGTAAAGAGATTGGACAATTCATAGTTTGGCCTTGAATTAAGTTGCTGAGGCAAAATCAATTTTAAGTTGAAAAGATGTGTATTGGGCTAGCTGCCTTTACTACCAGTGCAATCCTATGCCAATAAGTTCAATAGAGCTAACTCTCAAGTGAATGTCCATAGAACTTTAATCAATGGCCAAACAATAAGTAGCTCTCGTTCTCATTTAACACTAGCACCATGCTGATATCTATATGCAATAAAAAGTCTATATATGACTTTTCAGCTTCATGCTATTGCTGTCTTAACTACCAATTCAAGTAATACATTAGACTATTTCCCATTTTAAAGTGTAGCTGAAGATGCCATAAATGAATGCTTATGCAAATTTAAGCAAGGGTTTAGTTGAGCAATACTGCTATACAAGCTTTTATTATAACACTATTGATTATGTTGATATGTGCTTATTTAGATATATATCACAATTATTCTCATTGCTTCAGATTCATTTCAGACTGCAATATTTTATGTGGAGAATTTCAGTGGAAACTGAAACTTCATTATGGGGGTACTACCACAATCTTTAGAACATATGCCAAATTTAATAGGGGGGCTGTGATTAAATGACTGGTTGATTTAATTATTAATTCAATGTATATTGAATGCATGTTGAATGAAAAGTAATGTCCCCACCTTCATAACTTTAAATATTGATATTTTAATAAATGAAATAGGAAAATAATTCTTAAAATGAATTATTTTGTTACCTACCTGTACTTACATCCATAAAATCATCACCACTTGCTATAAACTTCTGCTAATGATGGATAAGCTCCTTAAATCCTTGATGAAAGAATGCTGCACTGTTCAGTTAAGTCCTAACATTCCTCTCCACCTTTTCATTTCAGTCAAACAAACACAAATATACCCACAAAAATACCCACAAAATTATTCCTTCAATTTGGGGACATGGGGGAAGTCACATGGCACCAAATCTGGAGTATATGGTAGATGGAGTAAGATGGGAAATCCATCTTCCCAACTGCCTCTTGGGTGGCTAATGAGCTGTGAGACCTAGCATTGTCATATTGCAAAATCTCTTTCTTGTGCTTCCAAAGTCTACCTAAGTATTATTTTGAACCTTTGAGTATTGCAGTATAGTGATGTATATGGACAGTGGTAGTAGGTTCAAGGAAATCCATGTGAATAACATCATCTGCATCCTCCCCCTAAAAAAGCTTTAACCATGATTTTTCTGCCAAATGCTGGGTTTTGAATTTTTTTCTTCTACAGGTGAACTTTTGTGAAGGTATTTCATGGATTGGTGCTTCACTTTTCATAATGATGAACCTATGTAAAAGCAAAACCCTCATTTTCATTCCTGTAATATAACAATTTCTGGCAAATCTCAATTCTTGCATTTTTCATTTTTGCCATCAATATGCAAGGAACTCAATTTTCAATATTGAAAAACACCAATAATGTCGCCTAAGCTGTGGAATACCAAGTTTGACAACAATTTATTTTTGACTGATCTGTGGATGGTTCTTAATCGGTTCGTGAACCTTTCTTATGTAAAAATCATTTACAGTCATGGTTCACACAAATCAGCTTTTCACACTTCCATCTTTATATATATATATTTTTGGTACAGCAACACAGAGTATTCATATCAACACAGTCATCACCATAAACAAAGTACATTCAATGGTGAATTTCAATTAGAAGGACTGCTTTGGCAGTAAAAAAAAAATAAGCAGAGTGCATTGCTTAAAGCATACTCACGATTCCTCACTTGCAGGCTTCCATTACATAGTAAACTAACTTTTTCTCATAGCAATGTCCTACCAACTGTATGAAACAATAGATACTAATGAATACATTAGAGGAGGGGTGTCAAACTCATGTCATCACGGCAGCATCACGTGACATACCAGGACTTTTCCCCCCTTCACTAAACCGGGCATGGGCATGGCCAGCACATACGCATCCAGCCATGGGCTGGGAGTTTGACAGCCCTACATTAGGGCTTCTAATATATCAGTACTGCCATCTGTTGATAACAGATAATCAGAGTTGGAAGAGACCTTGTAGGTCATGATGACTTGTAACACTGAAGGCATGACTTTTCATTCAGTCTTTGTACACAAAGGATATTTTGCAAATAAAGCAATCATCTGCAACTTTAGAGAATCCACCCTGGAGTTCTTAGAAATATTGAAAGCATTTATGACTTCCATTACCTTTTATGTTCTACCCT